GTCGGTCCCGAAGCCAATTCCCGGTCTGGTCAACAGACGAAAAAAAAGAAAAAAATAAAAATAAAAATAAATCAACAAAATAAAAATAGTAGAATTGAAGAGGACGAGGACCTATCGACGCCCTCTTGGTCTTACAAGTCGAACCCAGACTTGGGTCCGTCTAACAAAACCAAAGGGGATAGTCTCTTAAGACCCTCGACCCCTCAGTCCCTGTTGGTCACGTTCCTTTGCTCCATTGCCGTTGCTGACCTCGAACCCCAAACCCGTCGCTTGAAAGTCTGGTATCGTAACCATTAGATCTAGGCCAAAGGCTGAGCTAGGTAGGCGTGAACTTGCGTATGAATAGTCGTGGGACCGTTATTGGTCCTTCCCGCACAAACCAGACCTCCGTCTTGGCCTACCGGTCAACCTCCTGGCCGTCATAAGACGCCGAGACGCCGCCCGCGCCTAGGATCGTAGCTGCCTGGTATCCTGGTCGTCGAGCGCTCGACATGTTTTGTCAAACTTTCGACTTTCCCCCATACCAGTTTTGCCAATGCCTCGACTTTCGACGCAACATAAACTTCCCGCATGTGCGCAAGGTAAAAGTTTTTATCTTCTTCGCGCCGTGTCCTGCCAGAAGCCGAACTAGTTGCGAAGTATATATAGTCTTTATAAAATAAAAATATATATATAATCAACAATAAAAATTACAGAAGAGAGAGTAACCAGGTCCTACAGCTTTGGCGTCATTTCTCCAGCCCAGTATTGTCGATGACTAACAACTATCTCACCGTGCAACGCAGTAATGCGTGCCCCACACACTTTCTAATCAGGCCGTATTCGGCTCAGAGTCTCGCCAAGAGCAAGGTAGCCGAGATGAACGCCCTGACGGGGTTGGCCCCATCAACGCATTATGTTGATCAAGGACGCACCCATTGTGATCTTTAGAAAGGACGGCAAATACGACAAATACCCTTGTAAGGGTGTTTGCTACAACACTGTGGTCATCTGATGCATTGTCCTATATGTGTCAATCAAGCTCTGAGATTCCACCATTGTCATTAGCATAGTGTTATCAGATCTTAGTGGAGTGGTTTCCGGGGAGTCCAAGCCAAGATTCAACGTAGTATTCAGTCACCTAGTAAAGCAAGGTTTTCCACATCCGGAATACAGGCTGGAAGCCTAGCGAAGAAATTCATTCTCCAGAGTAATTGTTAGGGGCATAAACGGTCATGATCGCCCATTTTTCTGCTTCCATCCTCAGCTTGACTTAGGCCCAACGACCGCCTGGGTCTATATACGAGTCCAGGATTTCACAGTCTAAATCCTTATGGATGAGGATGGCAACTCTCCCTCTCATCCCATTGGCTGGCGCCCAAAACTGAGGGCCGCCCCACCAGGGGTGATTTCCGCTATTTTGTCGTTATCCAACTTTGTTTCTTGTTAGGCAAGTGATGTGAACATTAGCGGAATGAATCCAGGCTGCTAAACACGTTTTTTTCTGTCGATATGATGTATCGCAAAGTCCTTTAATATTCCACGAGGCCAGCCTTATTTTATTGGGCAGTACCATTGGCATGACCACCGCCACTTACTCCTTCAATGCGGGCAAATTGATAGGGGATGGCTGTTATGCCATCTGGACCATTTGATCCCTCCGGCTGGCCCAATGACAGTCCTGCTGCCACTATGGCTCAGAACTGGCCTGATGAAAGAAAGACAGCCACGTCTGTCCTTTTAACCCACTCTGCAATCTCCCAGGCAGAAAGACCAGGGATAAGTTGGATGGATGTAAGTGAGTCTTGTTTGGAAGTATGAAGTCCAACAAGGGTGACCAATACACCCTCGCAGAGCACCAGTCAGAGCACCAGTTTGCATAGGATGCCTATATCATGTGGATTGTCGTAAACACACTGCGTAGCAAAACCTTGCTGCCATTGGGCTTCAGCACCAAGTGTCCGTTTCAGGCATTACTGCGCATGTGCCCAGGTAGTTCAAGATAGGCTGACTACCTCGGCTTCAGTAGGGGCTGATGACTCTACAATGGACGGCTATGTTAAAGATTCGTCATTGGCCTGTTTCATGAAAACCATGATGCCATTTGTGGAATCAGAGCAAATTATGGGAACAAAAATTTCCATAATTTTCCCTTGGCACTTGTCGGCCTTCCCCAGGGTTACCATGGGTTCAGCGTGGAGCAGGGATTTTTCAGTGGTCTTGCCAGCTGGGTGCGCTTATTTGAGACATAACCGGAAGGCCCGCGGCCGATAGCTGGGCCAAGTACTTGTGGTTTAAACCACCAGTACATATGATGAAGTCAAATGAGCCTCTCCTAAAAGTTAGGGGACTTGCCCCACGGCGTACCTGAGGGCGGGTGGGGATTTTTTTCTGTCCCCTACAGCGCCAGTGCCCACCTTGCGGCAGTACATATGACGAAGTCAAATGAGCCTCTCCTAAAAGTTAGGGGACTTGCCCCACAGGGTGCCTGAGGGGGGATGGAAATTTTTTCTATCCCTCGGTGCGCCAGTGCCCACCCTGCGGCCTGGGACAAAAAAATTCCCCGCCGCCGCTGGGCGAGTGCACCAACTTTTAGGAAAGGCTCATTTGACTTCTGGTGGTTGTTTCACCTTTGAGGGAAAGTCCGAGACCGAGATTTGGACATCCAAAAGTCCCAGAATTCCTTCAGGCACTGGTGGAAGGTCTAACGAGCCAGGGTCGGTGGGTGTCAGGATGGTGGGTGTCAGGACAGCGGTCTGGTTTTGGCCATTTCTGTCGCTAGATCTTACCCCGACGCCTACAGATACCCGCCCTGGGTCGGTGGGTGTGTGTGTGTATGGGCGTGTCTGTGGCGAACTCCATATGTGCCTCGCGAAGGTGTGTGCGTGCCTGCGTGCCTGCCCTTGTGTGTGTGTGTGTGTGTGTGTGTGTGTGTGTGTGTGCGACCTCTACTTGGATGTAAGCCCCAACCTACCCTCCATAGCCGACTCAACTGAATAATGTCCATGAAAAGACAAGCGTGCCGCGTCCATCACATGGCACGCTACTAGCCGTAGAGCGCACGTCGCTCCCAATCCACGCACCGACTACACGTACACCCACCAACTAAACACGCCGAACGTAAGCATGTCGACGTTATTTTAGCATTAGATCATCCACATCGACGACAGGTGATTAAACATGGGCCTCGCTGCACTATTCCCCACATGCTCAAAAGACAAAAACTTTTGCGGTGCATCTTTCCATGTTCTAGCGGAAAATTCGTTCTTGCACATTTGGAGAGTAGTGCAGCGACGCCCATAAAACACCCCGTGTTCATAGGTAATGTGACCCCCCGTTTTTCTGCCTGAAGCCGCAGCCTGTCTATCTCCAAGCCCGCAATGCACCCGACGGTATTCACGACCATATATACATGCATCTCGCGTCAGAAGCGACAGTATTCAGTATGTATACATTCTGAATTATTGGGCCGAAGCAACACCCAGACACAAAAAAAAAGGAATAAGGGCGTCGCTGCACTACTCTCGAAATTTGCAAAACGAGAGTGAATCTTACGTTAGATTATGGAACGATACACTCCCATGATTTTTGTCTTTTGTGCATGTCGAGAGTAGTGCAGCGAGGCCCTAAGTCGCGCTCCTACGTACACCACCGCGTAACCAACCACACACACATCGCATGTACGGAAGCTAAGAACAAGAATATGTACGTGATATAAGCCATTTATCTATTGGGACGTCTGTCCACATTCATTGATGTTGGAAGGCTGAAACCACCCCGCGCCAGACACCACCGCGGATTCGACAGATTCGGAGCTCTCCACTCGCACGGCTCCCGCGGTGGGCACATCGCTGTGGCCACCTACACCGCTTCAAAAGTGGGAGGCAGCTACCACGATAACCAACGCCATTCTGTCGTCCCGAACCTACAACCTGACCAAACCCTAGCCAAACAGCGTTCGCAAGAGGGATCTTTTGCGCAGTCGAGTCCCGTCCGTGCGATCTCTTTAGGCGAACGTGGATCTGACGTCGTGCGATATCGCCGCACAGTCGCCCAGGTTCGCACCGTGGTGGGCAGCTACCACGATAAGGCGCAGGTGGGACCTGGCCCCGGGTTGTTCGTAGAGGATCCCGGCCTCTCTTTTGGTGTGCGTAATATATATATATATATATATATATATATATATATATATCGTCAAATAGAACTGCCCGGTAAAACGTAGGCAGAGAGGGAGAAGAGGACAACAAATGAGGGGCTGTGACAAACTGTTTCGTCGGAGTTTCACCGACTCATCAGGATATATATATATATCTTTTAAACCAATTTAATTACCTGTCAAATCTGGACAGGACGGCCTTTCAGGCATTTTTTATTGCCCAACCAATTCAATTACCTGTCAAATCTGGACAGGACGGCCTTTCAGGCCTTTTTTATTGTCATTATAGTATTACGGGGAACCCCGTAGCAGCCACACCCGTGCTCAAGCCTCCAACGAGGGAACATGAGGGAGCTGCACCCACCAGCAGGTGTGATACCTGCTACAGCAGGTGGGCGATACTGGCCAGGGGTCAGCCGGTAGCATCAGGACCGAGCTTCTTCGATGGGCCAGTCACTGTGCCTCCCCTCTGGTCCCCTCCCCCTATGAACATCAGCA